GGAATTATCAGCCATTGAATTTTTTAGGTTTAGGATTTACACCAAATAATCACATAAACAATGAGGTGATTTCTTTCAAAATGTGTTCTAATGTAGATACGATTAGGTAAAAACAAGACAAATTATAGCTAATAGGCACGGGTAGCCTACATAATTCAAGATATAAATTGTCTGTGGCAACTTGTTATTACAAAATTACATTACATTTTATTCTACGTGTGAATTTAGCAATAACTGTGGTTAACATTAATACCATGGTTGGATTATTCCAATTGGGCGTTGGGCAGGGAGGGGTAGCAGCTTCTAGCAGGCGAGTTGCGTAAGTTATGCAATTGTGACATGAATTCACATTACCACGGCAACTCATTTGACGTCATCGGAGGTTGTTCCTTGTTTAAGAGGACGTGGGTCTCATGAGCAAGTTGGAAATAAGTTATGGGGTCGTATGAGGGCGGCAGATCTAAATGGATAAAAAATACTCGATTCTAATTTCCCCATTCGTTGATGTCTACGATATTTCAATAATAAAACATTTAAATTATTTTGATGATAATAACAAATAATAAATCCACAGGCCTACTGTATCTCACAGGGAGAAACTTGGTGGAATGAGAACCATGACCCATCTGAGCCAGCTGCATCATGCTTCTCTCTGGATGAGAGCAGAGTTTGGAGATGGTGATATACGGAACGAAATCATACTTTCGTTCCCTCAAAATAGTTTAATATTGTTTCTAACCATATCTCTTTAGGGGCTACGTAGTATTCGAGACTATACCTGGGTCGCAAAGAATGTTAAATGCTACTGAGGTAAAAAATGCCATTTGGCAAATGTTAAATGTATTCAGAATTGTTCTGTCATTCAATTGAGCTCATTCATTGTTTATACAGTACTGTTATACTGTTAATATATTTATATTGTGTTTTGTGCTTGCTACTAATAACCCAGTAGAAACATATCATGTATGTGACAAGTAAAGTGAATCTAAATCAGATACAGACCTAATGGTATTAACTTCGTCTTAATATGTTTTTATAAACTACTTCTTACGTTTAGTATATTAATACCTTTATATGCGCATATACACAACTGCCTCATGAATACAGCGCTATGTCTCAACGTTTATAGAGAAATTGGAAGTTTTCCTAGTCGTTTGTGAATAAAGACTTATTTTGAAGATATATTATTAGAATTCAAATTGAGTCAGTGATTTTGTAGAGAGGAAATTGATTAGTCATGTTGTTGATGGGTCAGAGGTAGGCCTAGTAGTATCATTCCTGTTTAAGCAGTTTGAAAAATCTACAATACGATCGGCAATATACGTTCAAATTATACGTTTGAATTGTGGACTTTTCACCAGACTGGCTTCCTTGGCTAATAAGAATGGATCAAAGTAACGTTGACGTACTCGCCGGCAGAGCAGGTGATGATATCGTCGGTCACCGCACACAACCCGCTGTCGCCAGCAATTCATGCAGCTACCCCTGGTTTTATACTATCTATTTAGTGGTTTTGATCGTAATGACCATACTACCGCTTATGGGTATTGGCTCATTTTTGTTCATCTATCCTTCGTACATACTGGCACTTCTGTTATTCATTCTAGTTGCTCAATGCCAAAGACGAAACAAGAAAGAACCGAACGGCAAAATAGGCATACCATGTGAAAATGTGCACAGCCATAATATGACAAGCACCTCTATGACATCATCTCGTCCTACCGCAGAAAATAGCTTTGGAACAAATCGAATGTGGTTGTCATTATTTATGTTCCCCCGTGGCAACGTTTCGTCTATTGGTGGACACCGGGGCACGAGAGAAAAAAGTAGGTATGTAACCTATAGGCTGCCTAGGTCTCATATTAATTTATAAGAAACAATGATGTCTGTGAGTAGAAGATGCAGATGTAAAATCATACCAGACAGCTTTCATTCCAAGCTAAGTCCATCTGTAAATAATACATGAAAATAATGTGTGCAATACTATCTGTCAGGCAACTTTTGTAGCCAATATAAAACTAATTACGCCTATGCCTACCGGTATTTTTTTTTTTTAATTGTTTCTAATTTTGAATATTGTGCCTTATTTATTTATTTATTTATTTAGAAATTTAAAATGTCAACATAATGGTACTATGATATTCACTGAATAAATCTTTGCGGTAGGCCATGTGTGCATGCTATATTAAAAACAATAATGAAATACAATGTTACAAGATGAAATTGTTGCTACAGAGTCGAATCAACAAATATTTTATCATACAATAATATGAAAACATATAGTAATATGTAACTTAAATGAAGTCTGCTAGTCTGTTACGAAACGTGATTATAATAATTATTTGGATTCTCTTATTTTAGCCACGATGCTGTTCCTGAAGATGTGGCGACAGTTGATGAATATGATTCTGTTAACGATGTTCCGCCATCGTATTTTGAGGCAACTTCCGATGGCTCACACTACTTATCGGTATCTGATCATCATGAGACTGACGGTTATAGAGCATATGGTAATGGTTTGGGACGTTGTACTGACTGTTTAGCGTACCAGTCACTTTTTCCCGATTTTCCCCGTAAGTGGGTGTCTGGGGCCGCCAAAGACCCCTCGGAGCGGGTCCAGTGTGAGAACCCCATATAGGGCCTAATCACCGGGAATTAAAGAATTTGTCTTATCTAATCGATTTTAGAGTCTCAATCTGTAAAACATTTTTCTTCCCGGGTGTTGGGGAGCTCTTTCCGCATCTAGCAGAACCCCTTGAGTACGGTATTTTTCCCGCATTAAACCTGTTGTTTCCATAAAATCGCTACAACCCACAGCCGACAGTCACCGACAGCTGCTGTGGACGAATCTCGCTGGCGATTTTTATGAATACAGTGTGCGCGACATTAAACTCAACTTATGTGGTCACCGCATGAAGGTATCACTCGGCATGGACCGACGAAAACGAATGCAAGATTGTGCTGTGCAAATGGAGGCTGTATACTCTTTGATGGAGTAACGCGCAGACGAGCTTGGATTGGTGATCTGAAATTGACTCGGTCCGCCTGTCGAATTTTGGCTTAAAAATGACCTGCCAAGGCATGGAAGTATAATTATTCAACAATTAGTTATAAATATTCAAAATAATTGTAACTCCATGAACCAAATGTAGTCCTTATAAGTCAAAATCGGTCCGGCTTATTAGTAATTTCCAACTTGTACGTTTATATTTACCATTATTCTTATTTTCAATAAAACATCAACAAATTGATAGATCGTCTCCTCGTCTGGAATTTGTTTTTCTGACTACTTTTAGGATAGTTCATTGGTTAGTTTTCTCTTCTTTTTTTTCATATTCTTATTTTTCGTATTTCTTTTTTTTTTAATTGTAAGGCTATATACAAGTCCATTTCCATTTCTCATGTATTTATTTTATCATTTGTTATATGTACAATTCCGCCAAAATTATGATCTTATTTTTGGTTCACTGCACACCTTATATATTCCCTCGTGTGGCTGCATGGCCGGGTCGCAAAAGAGTTACAGGCCTAAACACCCAGGCCTATGCTAAACGGGGAGTTTAAAAAATAGTACTATAGGCAGTTTGAGGTTTGAAAATATAACGTAATATTTAATCACTTTCAATAGAGCAAATAATCCATTGCTAGTATATACAATTATTCAATAAATCATTTATAAAAGGAAACATAAACACATGAGTAGGCCTTACAAAGACACAACCACATTTAAAAAAATAAAAACTTATTATTATTATGCTTAGAACTTCATTTCAATTCAGATAGGCCTGTCATCCGTAAAATTCCAGCTATTACAGTGTAAAGGTAAAGAAACGAAATATACAATAATTTGAAGGTAATATAATAGGCCTGGTAATACTACTTCTAATAGGTATGATATTAATAAGCCCACCCCGTTGGATATTGTTGCTAAGGTTCAACAAAAACTGTGTGCGGGCCAAGTGCGTATTTCTGGACCTTGTTCTGATTGCCGATTGGTGAGTTGTTAAATTTGACTTGCTCTCCAGAAAGTTCCATTAAGTTTAACAAAATATTGTAATATCTGTCTCTTATACACATCTAGATGTGTATAAGAGACAGCTAATTTCCCCATTCGTTGATGTCTACGATATTTCAATAATAAAATCTTTCTGGACTCATCCCTGGTAGAGAGTGGCATTTTAGTCAATTTTAATCCGGGACTCAGGAGGGATTGGATATTTACAATGAATTTGAATTAAATTTGGCGTCAGTTTTTTTTTCTTTCTGTTTCGTGTGCTATCATTGTATCTGTGAATTTAACGTCAACCTCTTCGGTATCCTCTTCAGAGTCTTTTCTCGTGTGTAATAGCGGAGTGTTTCCTCCAGAACACGCATCAATGTACATAGGTGGCGTTGATGACCCCTCGCTTGAATTGGCAGTCCTGAAATTATAATGAATGCTTATATCATAAATGTACATAATTCATAGTATATTACTAGGCTAATGTAAGTTGGTACTATTAATTATTTAGCGATGATGAGTCAATCAATGAGTACTAGTAAAGATTAAAGTTAATTTATAATAATTGTCTATCATTGGTTTTTCCCCAGATATTCTACCAATGTAGAAACTCAGCGTACAAGACCACCTTATTCGTATAAACGTAATGCGTAATCGAAAAATAGTGTAATAGGCCAAGTGTTCGCTTCACCGTGGAATTTCTGTTGTACGGTTGTATCTCGTGATACCGTGAGTATTGATAGCCCTATCTATTTCTGCATTGTTGTATTGTTGTTTGCTGTATTTGCACTAAAACGTAAAGCCGGACACCCTGTTGGCCCACGGTCGTCGGCTCAATTCCATCGCGAGTCATTGGATGACGATCTACTCAGACTGTCTTCGACAATCAGCAGATGACGTTACGTCAAGTGGTCACAGAGAGTAGAGATGGATTTTTCGGTCGACGATCGTGCGACCGTCGTACGACGATGCGACTGTTACCGACAAGCAGCAGACGGCGTCGCATCTTCAATCATTGTTTACACAGAGCAGAGACGGTTTTGTCGGCAAATGCAGTATGTGCCCGGACTGCATTACTAAAGCCGGGAACTCACTGCAGCTGACGGTCGCCGGTCGATGCGATTCTATGGGAGAATGCAACGCCAAGACGCGCGCACAACGGATCGTTTTTAATAACGATCCGTTGAGATTGCCACCGACAATCAGCAGACGGCGTCGCCTATTGTTCACAGGGAGCGGAGTTGGATTTGTCGCACAACGTTTGTACGACCGTCGTACGACGCAGTGGGTCCGGCTTTAGGTCTACATAATGTTTTAGCTGAAGATAATTCCTTGAATTGTCATGATTGCGTCACAGGCACTCATTGTGAAGGCAACATTTTTTCGGCTACAATCAGAAGTTATTTCTCTTCAGATAGTTGTTTCAAACTTACACACAGAGTTTTCCGAACGTCCTTCTAAAATTTCCTCTTTGGATGCGTCCGAGTAATCAGGAGGGTACTCATTTATTGCTTCCAATCTACACGTAAGCCTATCAGAAATTTGTGTCAAATACATAGGCTTTCTCTTCGAAGCTGATTCCTGTTTATCTAAATAATAATAATTTATTGAACTGGAACGAGATGAAACATAGTTATCACTTTCTTGAATGTCGTGAAACTCAGGCCCTAAATGCCAGTAAGAGGAACAGTATTTGATTCTATCGACACATGGCCGGACGAGCAGCATGCAAGCTAAGACAGTCAATCCAATGTATAAGAAATTGATGTCGAAAATGGCTCCAAGCACAATGCATACAATGGAAGAGATGCACATGCATACTATGAAAACGTTTAAACAATGTTTGCAGACAATAAGAGATACACGCTTCGGGCTTCGTGGGATAACAACCACTTCAGTGAAAGTCAGTGTGGACTGGCGTCTACTAGCAGCGGTTTCAAAGTCCTCCATTTTGTCAGCTTTTAACTACCCTATGTACCATTTAGGGTGCTACTTCGAAGGTTAATAACTAATATCATGAACTTCAGAGAAAGCATGTGTTAAAAAAGGCCCTCATAAGAAAATTAACTTCGTAACGAATGATCAGTAAAATCTCCAAGTCCTGCAACCTTGTCTAACTCGTATTCGTACTATGGGTCTCATAGTTGGGTAGATAAGTGGCGCACAATATACACAAGAACAGTTTTGTCTTAAGCAAACACTATAGCAGTTTAATACTTGACATTAACCTCATCAGCACTTCGCCTACATGAACTTTGTTCTAATCGAAATGTAGACGCAATGCGTTTTAACGCGAAGAACAAATGAACAATACAGTATTTAAATTCGTTCAAGCCAGGCTTTCATAGAATCGCTGCACAATGTTTCAGTGCAATCGTTACACGCGTAGCTCTTCCCAACGTGGAAGGTTCTGATCAGACTGATCAAGCTTGGTTTCCATAGAATCGCTCACACTGAATCGTCTGCAACGCAATTGGAAAATTTGAACCAGGTTCAACCTCCCTGACAACTGTCGGTGACTGTCGCCGAAAGGGTGAGCGATTCTATGGAAACCTAGCTTCAGGTTGAACCTGGTTTATCTTTGCCGATTGCGTTGCAGACGATTCAGGTTGCGTTGCTAGCTGCCCTGACGCAATCGTGCAATTGCGTTGCAGACGAATCGGGGTGCATTCCCTATCGGCGACAGTCGCCGACAGTTGTCGAGAAGGTTGGACTTGGTTTAACTTTGCCGATTGCGTTGCAAACGAATTGGGGTGCCTTCCCGATTGCGTCAGGGCAGCTAGCACCAAAAATATATTTCACAAATCGATTATATTTTGGATCTAATTATTATACAATTTAATGAATTTCCACCTCTTATTATTTTCTTTTTCTTTTTGTTTCAAACTTTACCATGAAAAAAAATACTTTGTAAAAAAGAAGGCTTTAATTTTGACAAAAGTATTATATATGTATATATTAGTTACCCGTATTTTATTTGAAATGTAATATAGATTAAAGATGGAAAAATGAATGAAAACAATTAAAAAAAAGAGTGACAATAAAGGTGGGTGACTCCCACGAAAGACAAAAAAAGCAACGCAACCTGAATCGTCTATGATTCGTCTGCAACGCAATCGGCAAAGTTGAACCATGTTCAACCTTTCCGCGACTGTCGGCGACTGTCACCGATAGGGTGAGCGATTTTATGGAAACCGAGCTAAGCACGGTTTCCTAAAAATAGCTACACTGCCGCTATAGTGTTTTCAGTGCAATCGTTATACTGCGTAGCAGTCCCCGACGGAATCGGGAAGGATCCTCGATTCGTCCGACCAATCAGCATCACCGAAAGTTGTCGGCGATAGCGTGTAGCGATTGTATGGAAACCAGGCTTTACATTGGCGTACAGAAAAATACATACAATATACAAAGATAGGCAATTAACCAACAACTCGACTTCATTGTGTTGAACTGCGATGGTACCATGGTGAGTATCATAGCTCGCGCAGAGGTTCGCTCAGTAGTTATGATTCTTCTACAAGCACGTGGGCTGAAAGTTGACCAGAGCACCGAAGTAATCCCCTACTCTTCCAAAAGATGCACTGTAGATTTTTAAGGTGCACAAGAGCCAGGGTATGTGTACACCTGATTTCCAGTTTTGAGTGTTTTGATCGTTGCTGTATCCCAGAATTAAATTGTGATAAATTATGTTTTTCTTGCTATAATTTTCAATGACAGACTTTTTGAAATCAAAAAAATATTGAAATTTATTTTAGCTCATCATTGACGGTATTCTTTAAGTAATTTTGTGCGAATTTAGGCCAAGGATAGGCCCAAAAATATTCAGATATTTCCATACAGTCTTATCTAAGTATAGGCCTATATTCAAACTTTACCTACTTGACGAATTACGTCATCTTTTGTTTTCGCAATGACAATATTAATTGGTTTTTTTTAATACAAAATATATACATACATATTTACATATAAAATAGTATATAAAATTTAAGTAGTTAAGAATCAAGTATCAATAAAAACCGTTCCACCCAGTTTCGTAAGTAAAGTCTCAGTTTAAGGCCTAGTCGATTATGCTATATTTTATTAATATTGAGAACTAGACTATCTATCGTAGATGCTTATAAAATCGTTCCATTTTTGCGATAGCTTCACATTGCTTGCTATGGTAATGCACGACCATCACTTCCCACTGGTACTACTCTATTGTTGGGTGACCCGCATAATGAACCGTCACTTTACTTTATTCCAGTTTGCAATTTCTTGCGTAGCCATATCAAGGTGAATTAAATCCAAAGTTTAAGTTTCATAGTATGGGTTCACTCTGAGCTCGTACGCTACTTCAGTATTATTGCCTGAAGCAAGTCATTCAGTTCAGTATTTTCTATATTCCCTCGTGATTTGTTTCATGTTACAATAATTGTTCAGACTATAATGCGGTTGATACTGATTGTTCTGGCATGCGATCATTCCCTCTGAGGTTTGGTGCTGGTCTTGCGTGACTATTTGAGGCACCTTTGTTAATGCTACTATCTGAGTATTCTGCGTTTCTTTGAGGTGCCTCTGTTGGACTCGTCTCTTCTGCGTCCGTTTGAGGTATCTCTGATACGAGTGTTTGAGGTGCTTCTGTTGCAATTGTTTGACATGTCTCTGATATGAATGCTTGAGGTGCCTCTGGTGTGACTCTTTGGGGCGTCGCTGGTGCGATTCTTGGAGGCAACGGCAACACTGGTGCGACTGTGTAAGACGCCTCTTGTGCAGCTGTTCTAGGTGTTTCAGGCGTCACTGTTCGTGATGTGAAGTGACTCTCACTCGACTCCGTTATTGTTATAGCGTGTGATAGATCTACCTCTTGCCTATCACCATGATTCAGAGACAGACGTGGCATTATCAATGTAGAGCTAGTCTGATGTGTTATAGTTGAATCATCTGGTACTTGATAATGTCCTGCTGACTGGTTTACAGCTGCGTTCATTATGACTTCATAAGGCGGAGGTGGATATGACGGGTGGTCGTACGACCTATGAAAATAAAACAATCAGTTATAGTTTATATCGTTGCATTCAATTTTGTTTCAAAGTGTATCCATTTATTCTGAATTGTATATGGCACACAAGTTTATAACATTTTGTCCCTGGTTTATTAACTGATACGTGTTGTCAATAAATATTTCAATTTACAATTAAACATTATAAAACTGTCATACTGGACTATCCCCGTCGTCATTATTGTCGAATCTTCGTCGTCATTGTCGTCATCATCATTATCGTCACCAGATAATCGCCATCATTATCTCATCATCATCGCACCCATTACCATTATCGTCATCATCGTCATCATCTGATGATGACGATGATGACGATAATGGTAATGGTGCGATGATGATGATGATGAGATCATTGTCACCATTATCGTCATCATCGTCTCCATCATCATTACTATTATCATTACATCATCACCATCGTCATCATCATAGGATTGTCACCATCATCGTCATCATCATCTTCATCACTATCATATTTACATCATCATTACCATCAAGGTACGGTAGTTTATTTTATTTAAAAAAAAACAAAAAAACTGCATGAAAATCAGCGCCTTGCCGAACACGGGTAAGTGGTTATGCACAGTGAGAATAAAATCGCTTACCTTATATGATACGATGCCCTGCCTAACGAGTACGGTTCATCAAACACAATGTTGTCGTAGGCCGGCGGAGGGTCTATATCAGTAGGCCCATTACTACTTTCACCGACAGTGGCAACCGACCGAGAACGACGTACCGACGGTCGCGTAGTTGTCGATATTCGTGAACTTATTGAGATGGCCCTTCGCACGGCACGACTATCCGGTGTTCTGTCGCAGTATTTGAAAAACCCACTCAGTCCTACCACCATCAGTATAAAGGTTCCTAAAATAGTCATATACCATGTCGCACTACTCAATCCTACCACAATAAACAACGTAGCGATCACTACACAGCCACTAGTGAATCTTTTCACGAATAATTCTCTTCTATTCGACCGTCTCGACCGTCGATCGTAAAATATCGGCAGAATTATTGCTGAACTCATAATCGCGTAAGGAACTTAATTATACCACTGAATTAAACCAGAGAAGATCGAGTTCTCATCGTAAACTCAGGTAGAGCTGCATAGAAACATAATGTCTGGTGTGTACGTACATACTGGTTTCGCTGTGACAGCAATTACCGTTATAGCCAATTAAAATACCCATCCAACAGACGGCAGTCGAAGAAAATTATTGATTTAATTTATGATTTGTCTGCCGTCATCTTCCAACCAATATGATTGAGTGGAATCACGGCCTGCAGCATTATTATAACCGTGATTATCATTTAAATCATATGCCTTTCCAGAAAACACAACAAACCTGTGTCAGGAGTTATAGTCCAATAATGTGAAATCGGATATTGGTTAGGTTACGAAAATCCGGAGCCTGTCGTTGAAGATCACGATTTAAAGAGTGTAATCAACTGAACACCATAGTATTCTTGTGTGGCGAGGTTCAGCAATATTTATGTATTCGTACAATATTCTTGTTAGATCCGTTAAAATAGTCTAGCCTATTGTGGGGCGAATGGCCGTTTTCTACGTCAGCACAGCTCAGCTTTCTCTCTTTGTATTCATTCAGTGAAATACTAATCTGCAACATAAAAGAACTCTCAATTTTTTCAATACTATAACGCACTTCATATTATTAAACTTTACAATGAGCAATGCATGAATCAACACAAATGGGCTATACACACCATCACTTGCTATTGCGTAGAGAATAAACTCAGGTACCATGATGTTTTCCTCAAGTATATATATATATATATATATATATATATATATATATACAAGTATATAAAAAATCCCCAAACGGGATGCGAACCTGGGACCTTTTGCTGTTTATGCAGTCGCCTTTAACAAACTGGGCCATTGAAGCTCAAGCATATATACCGGTATGTAATAAATAAATATATGTTCGCATCCCGTTTGAGGATTTTTTTTTTCGCTTGAAGGTTAAAGAGGAACCTGTGAGTGTGAAGCATGTTGCCTGGATGCGAACCCCGGACCTTCTGCCTTGGCACGCCTTAATCAAACTGGTGCATAAGGGCTTAGTTAGACATTAAAATCCAATCAGAGGCAACTGATTTTCCAACTCTTTCTCTTTCGTGATTTGAACAACGCTAGTTAAAACGACGCACAAAGAGGTCGATTTCCCAAACGAAGCACCATGGCCTCATTCCTTTAAGGCGGCTGCATACACAGCAAAGCCTCCCGGGTTCAATGCATATTTATATGTGACCGGCTCTGAAAAACCCCTACATTATTGTCGTAATTTCTATGTTCGCACTAGCACACTCAAAATGTTCGAGAATGTTTTTTAACTGCAAAATGCATAAATAAATAAATTTAAAAAATCAAATGAATTATACAAATGCAAAAAAAAAAAAAAAAAATAGAATTAAATTACAGTGAACCAAGCTGGATATTTCTACAATTACCATGTTAAAAATATAGTGAACAACTAGGCCTATAATGTTTGTCGACAGTTATGTATCTCGCATGTGACCGGACTGACTTTTTCGCATATATTAATATTATTAGCATAATAGTTGGATTGAGTATGATAAATAGGCCTAAGGGTATATTGTGTTGCCAAGGCAACAGTTTTTAAGTACAAGGTCAAAGCATATCCGACATCATCAATATATTTATAACAATCCTCTGCGCACAAGGACAATTACTCACGTCACTAGGACTATGTTGGTGAAAATAGATGTGTATAAGAGACAGATTGTTGGGTGACCCGCATAATGAACCGTCACTTTACTTTATTCCAGTTTGCAATTTCTTGCGTAGCCATATCAAGGTGAATTAAATCCAAAGTTTAAGTTTCATAGTATGGGTTCACTCTGAGCTCGTACGCTACTTCAGTATTATTGCCTGAAGCAAGTCATTCAGTTCAGTATTTTCTATATTCCCTCGTGATTTGTTTCATGTTACAATAATTGTTCAGACTATAATGCGGTTGATACTGATTGTTCTGGCATGCGATCATTCCCTCTGAGGTTTGGTGCTGGTCTTGCGTGACTATTTGAGGCACCTTTGTTAATGCTACTATCTGAGTATTCTGCGTTTCTTTGAGGTGCCTCTGTTGCTCGAAACAATTGACCATCATGTTTGAACAACTCGGGCCTCTCCCTATCGCATAATTTCCACGCTGGCGCTATTACTCCTCGCAGTGGCGGATTCAACAATAAAAAAAAATCATATATCAATAAATTTTTTCTTCTTCTTTCTTTTTCTTTTTTCTTTTTACTTTCCAAAGGGGGTGGGGGGAACTACAGATGGGCTCTAATCCGAGATGGGCTTCTTCTCTAGATTACGGTTATGGGCTTCTATTCGAGGTTTTACGGTATACTGTCAGTTGTATATATGATTACATAGGCCTACTTTACCGATGTCAGCCTACCAGTACAGAAAACTACTAGTTCTTCATTATGATCTGCTTACCAAGAAAGGATACAAGGACCACATATAATATTGATAAATAATCAGTTGTGCTCTAGGCATTCGAATCAATGGCAATGCCATTTCCTGTATCCATCGATAATCACATATCCCGTTGCCATAGTTACAATACATTTAATTAAAAAAACACAGGCCGACTACTGTATGAAATTAAAATTTTAACTATTCATGGGACTGTGCATTAGTTATACTCACAGTGATATATAATTATTTTAAAATGCATCGTTTGTACGCGCGCGGTATAAAGCACCGACATTTGCCCTACAATACTAAGTTATTTCTAGTTGTCCAGTGATCACAATAGTAGGCCTATTCAACTTCAAGTTCAAACTAACATTCATTACCTTCCTTTAAAGCATAAATATACAAAATAAATTAAGACATAGGTCTATATCTCGGATATAAAATCTCAGTTATCCGAAAAAAGAAACTTTGTTTGTATTTCCACCGTACACGAAGACAAATTAACAATATTTTCGTTGATTTTGAAAAGCATCCCATGTATGTAATAGATCATTTATATAGGTCTACTGAACGATCCAGGAATCTGGATCTAGTTTTGGTGGGTAAAACCGACCTCCTAACGAAAGACTTATTAGGCCTACTAACTTATTTCACATCTCATTTCCAAAAGCACAGAAATGAAATAATAATAATAATAATAATAATAATAATAATAATAATTTATTGGGAAACTACACTTTTGAAACAGTGGCACACTTCACATGATAATGGTGCGTCCAAAAAAAATAATACTTCGAACAGAATACAATACACTAAAGAAAACAAAGTATAAATTGAGTAACCGTATGTAAAATAAGTTGAATACGAGAAAGTCAGTAATTTTAGACGAGTGCGTACAAATGACAACTGACCAATCAGGACGCGTTACTCAATAGAAAGGATTACTCGCATGTCTCACAAACTCAAGTTTAAAATTAATTTAGCCACACTATATAGGGACAGGGCTTGTCGAAAGATCTGTTGAGTAATAGACTTACGTTTCCAATAGATTCGACTATTTTATATTAGAGAAGAAAATTACATATATCCGATTTTTATTTAAAAGTCATTGGAAACGCCATATTCCCTGGGGTAAATAGCAGCACGGTAACCGTCTACAACACCAGTTTATTCAATACAATAAACAACCAGTGTAATATAGGAATATATGTATTGTGTATTTATGCAATATTCAATACTCTGACAATATATATTATTTAATTGGTTACTACTGGCCATATTGCTCCGTTTTCCGGTGTACAGCGCTTTATAAAGGTGACTTAATTATAATTATTTATTGTGTAAGTAATTATAATTCAGAAGCGTAAAGATACTTTCTCGTACATTCAGCATAAACAAATAGGTAGATTTTTCGAACTGAAGTCCTTAATAATGGACCCAAATATTGATGAAAAACACAACACATTTTAAGAAAAGAACTAACAGGAAGTAAGAGAAGATATCTTTACGCTTCATGAAAGCTACACTGGATTATAATTCCTTGCAAAACGTTCAGCGTTTTTCCGAAATTATTCATTGATCTGAGTGGAACAAAAATCAGTTCAGTTGCTTAAGGTTGGTTTCCATAAAATTGCTACACACTGTCGCCGGCAGCTTTCACAGACGCTGACTGGTCAATCGAATCGGGGCCGCCTTCCCAATTGCTTCGGACCGCGCAGTAACAATTGCTATAGAGACTATGTATGACATTTTATGTCAACTAGGCTTTAAGCAGTTCATTCAATCGTTCACTCTGTTCATTCTTTTCTCATACATTCCTGCTCTCCATTTTTCAAATTTTATAGACTTCTATTATTGTATTCTTATGCAATACATTTGATCTAGTGATGTCATGTCTTTATTTTTCAAAACGGGGACTGTTAATAACAACACAAGTCGCAACAATCTTACTAAAGAAATAATATATTTACATAATATGTAAAACATTTGGGAATGCCAGCCAGAACTCATGTTACAAATATATTCCTGTTGCAATAGTTTATGCTATTACATATAAGTATATAGTATTATAATATACATATATTACAATAGCGGTAACATTAACACATTTCACCTGGTTTAAATAAATGATTATTTTTATATATATATATATATTTATTTACTTTTTAGATGCATAATATATTTAATATTTTAAAATAAAATGAATTCTCTATATATCTATTGATGATCATCCATATTTATTTTTGATATATGATTATTTGTGAATGTGTGATATTTAAACATGGTCACTGGATGCTTATTTTTATTTTCATAGCATGCATCAAAGTTATACTAGAATGTCAAATGATTCTACTTAAAATAATATGTTACTCTTTAGTGGTGATTCTAGGAATTCTAACTATTGTATGAGGGGCACAGCGGAGGACTTTTACAGACAGAGTGTCTGGACCACCTCAGCCCCACCATGGTACAACATTTTTTGGCTATGGCTGGAATAGAAATGACACTCTCAGACTTAAAATTTGAGTACAAGTTTAATTTTGTTCTCCATTATTAAAACATTTTCGGCTGGCCAACCCTTTGCTGGTAGTGTTCACTTATACAGGACTGACACAAGAGCTACTGTACCTGTCGACAGAAAATTTAACTGTGCTCTTGTGCAACAACAAGTAAATATGATACATAATTACATACAGGCATACTTACATACATACAAACAGTATAACCACACAGATGATAATACAAATTCTATTAACAATAAATGCTATTGATAAATACATAAAATGGCTAATTAGTTATTTCTCAGTTTCAAATGTTATGTTGGTTAAAGTCTGCATCTTGTTTTTGCTAATCATCATCATTTCATTCAGTGTCTTTTTTCCAATTTTCCAGGATTTGAATATACTTTCCCATATTTTGAAGCATATGCCTAATCCTCATTTTTTTTGCCAACTATTGTGTTAAAATTTTTACATGGACAAAAAGTGATGCTGGTTTCAGATCTTCCTCAGTCGGTGATAACAATGATATGTGGTGATAGCCTGTAAAAGTAATTACAGTTTCAGTTAATGGTGAATCTGTGGAAGCATATGGCACAGAGGTAGAGCTTTGTGCAAGACACTATGTCATCTACTTCTCATCACTTAGCAGTAAAAATGTTTACTGATTTATTTATTTAATATTTCATTTTTGTGTCCCAGGAATATATGGTAGCTGGTAAAGTGTGAATAACAAAATTTGATGATTCATTATTCATGATACAATGTCTTGTGGAACACATGACACGAAGGAGTGAGTTAAGGTACAATTTATGAATATTCAATATCAAGGAATTTTTTTTATTACTATTGATAATTGTTTATGTTTCCTTTCTCTTTACTCATATGTGCTGGTTAGATACTAATAGTTTTTATTGGTAATTATTATTATTCATGATTATTTATGATTATTTTTAAATATTCATGAATATGGACTATTCATAAGTGTATACTAATTGCCTCCCTTCATCCAGGAGTATACACATTATGTGTACCTGGTATGTAAATAATTTGGCAATCATTCATAATTATTCTGGATAATATTCACGATTTTTAATAATCATATATTAACCCTTATTTATAATTAATCATTAATTTTCATGAATCAACTAATTTATGATTATTATTGTTTATTGATTTTATTAATTTGAATATACATGATAATACCTACCAAGTTGTAGACTTTTGAATGGCAGTGCATACTGGGCGATGTAATCATTTGATGATGTCATTTTGTTATCGTACAAGGTAAAGCGAAGAATGGACAACTCAGGAAGCACCAGCTGTAGGTTGATCTCATGGTGCCAGTAGGCAAACACACCTTCAAATACACAAATTAATATGTCTGTGTTAGAGTAGGAATGTGAAGAAATAACGTTAGAATAGGTAGTTATCTGTTTTTTTAAAAATCCTGAATCTATGTGTGAACAGAAAAATTTAAGATCAGGATGAGTATTTCAAACAAAACTTAAATGATACGATGAGGTAATTCTAGGAAACTTAGGACAGGACAGAAAAATGTTAAAAGGCGAGGGTAGCGGAATTATAGAGAACTAAAGATAGGATAGGGAAGCTTACAAAGTAGGTAAAGGTAAACGAACTTAAAAATAGAATTGAATCATTCTAGAGAAATTAAAGACGGCATAGGAAAGTTCTAGAAAAAGCATACAGAATAAAAATATTCCAAACCTTCAAAGAAAGGATAGGGAAATTCAAATGAATGTAAAAACAGAATTAAAACAATTAAAGATGGAAACAAACAAGTTGAGTATCAATTCATAGGTAGGCCTTATGCTTTATATACATTATCATGTTTCATGTGAAATATTTTTGTGAATTGCCTTAACACGGGTAGGATGATGTCATATCACATCCATATATGGGCATGAAGACATCATACCATACCCATATATGGGCAATTCACATGTATTTGTCACATCAAATTTGATAGAGTGGATATTGGTGTACTCACCCTGTGTCTCCATGCTTCCTACATTTGTTTCGTCTGTGGAATGCTTGTTGACATCATATAAAGTGACTTTTACAATTGGTTCAAAGTTGTCTATTTTTAAAGCAGGTAAAAATTGACCACTTATAATCTAAAATGATAAAGATTAAATATAAATATGGTAACAAAATATTCCCATAATGGCAGTGGGGTTTGTTTATTAATGTATGTGTGAAAAATTGAGTATTTCAGTTGAAGATCATTTTTTATACCAAGAACAAATTGTTTCTCCTTGGTCATCATTATTTTACTACTTACTCCGAGCCAGGCAGGATTCACTATCTAGGTATGATTGATGAGTGTCAAAGATGATTGTGTCCATATCCAAAGGTGAGGAGAAATTGACCATCTTATTTCCCACCACCCCAAAATTTTATAACTAATATTTCCTACGGGAAGCTCGAAAAATTAATTTTTTGGAGCTTCACTGCAGGGCTTAATTGAGAGTGGCGCTTATTTGAGAGCAGCGCTTATCCGAGAGCACGCTTATAAAAACAAATTGGCGAGGTGCTTTCCATGCCCGTTCCCATGTTACCTATTTCACGTATTCACGTAGTCTATCATAGGTTTTATCATCATAAACGTTTATAAAGAAATGCTTGTCTTTATTGTATTATTTGTTCATTTTAACACTATGTCATTGTATTTAAAACCCTGTTTTTCAAAGTGTTTCTACGCAGAGCGTAATATAACTATACTCTTAATTAAGCGCCGCAGCAATCAAAATTTTTTGCGGCGCTTATTGGAGAGCGGCGTTTATTCAAGAGCGGCACTTATTCAAGCATTTACGATACATAGGCTGCTGTATACAAGTCTACCCTACCTTGATTGTACAATTGCAAGCATGCTGTGTGCCTGGTGCATCAGGATTGAATTTCATATTTCCTTTAAAAAACAATAACAAAATATAAATTCATATTTATATTATTAAATTAATATGCTTGCAATTGCTGCTGGCAGCTGAATCACCTAAAAAGTCTCCAGGGATTGTGGCATAGCTCTAGCTGAGTTTATAGTAAAATGTTCCATGCTGTTATATATCTATATATATCAATTGCATTTACTGACTTGTTCTGTCTTTTAACAATATGCCTTTAACTATTATAATTACATAATTTATTCATATACTTTTAATGTTGCAATTCTAGTATGGTTGAAGAGCAAAGCCATTTATTTGGGAAAAAATTGTCAAACTTTTCTTCTCATTTTTCTGTTTAATTGCATAACTTTCATCTTAACTTTATTGTATGTTGGTTATATAATGCATTACCTTTCCTAAGAAATAGAGGTTTCAGAATATAGCCACACTGTCCATTTTGCAGAAATTTAGCATTGTTGACCTCTCGAAATTCGCCTGGTGACTGGTAATTGATGCTAACTGAAATATGAGAAATTTTAAATTGTCAATATTGATAACATGGAATAGAACAATAGTTCCCATACAGTTACAAAAATATATATATAAATTCTAATTATTACTTACCAATAGAACAACCTAAATTCCAAAATAACGTTGGATCTGGGTTTGACGAGTCTGTTCTCCAGCCCCCTGGATAGATCCTTGTAAGGAATTGTTTGTTGTGGTCAACAAATTGTTGTCCTGCAGTGGAGCCTAGTTCTGCAGCTTTCTTCTCAGGAATTGAAGCAACCTCACAAAATTTCCCTAAAAAAAGTAAGCATGTGGTACAGAGTTTAGGCTTGGCTTCCATTGGTGATGGGTTCGAATCCAATACTAATCATATTGTTTTTGAGCTGATCTTTCCATGTAGTAATGGATACCTACTGTAGTTGTGGAATTATACACATAATAATAATAATGGCATCTCCAAGAGAGCTGCTCGCAGCACCATTTCCACTTGAAAAGAGCAACAGCCTTTTCTGCATTTAATTAATTTTATTTACAAAGGTTATTTCATTCTATTTTAATTGTTTTTTTGTTTAAATAATACTTAAATGTACAGTACATTTATTATCACCTTAACTACAGAGGAGAACAGACAAAACAAGTGCAAGATCTTATAGGATCATCAGTCCATCGCAACTCTGTCGCATTCCCGAACCTCTACCTAGGTGGCTCCAACAAAAGAAACGGGATACACATTTGCCCTGCCACAGACGAACGGGTGCTCAGAGGGGAAAATCGGGATAGTGGCCCCTAGAAATAGATGCAGGCCTGACAAAAATGAGGGTGAGGATTGTTGACAAATTAATCAAGCTTTACCTTCCTTCTTACTGTGCTCTAATGACCTGAATGTTACACTTTGACACAACACAGCCACATCTGAGAGTTCCAATGATAACTTAACTTTCTCCCCCTGCGAGAAAATTAATAAAACATCATTATAAATATAAATGGTAAACGGTTGGAGTGGTTGGCAAATCAGTTTTGCAAGGGGTGCTTAGGCCCTGTGAGATACAACTTATTAAACCATAACATAAATTAAATTAAACTTATATATAACTAATTTAGAACCAACCCCTCAAAACCAGGTTAAAATTTGATTGTCAGAATATAAATCCTAGAGACATAAAGTGTCATAAAATTGAGGATTTTATATATGCATTACAGTTATTAGTGCAGTATAAGATCCATATACTGTATTACAAGTTAAATTTAACATTTTTTACCCTGATCTCATTTTGTTTCTCAAGATTCTTCTTGATTTCTGGCACTTTGACATTCTCCATATCAGCTGCTTCATCATCGTCGCTCACCTCTCCTTCCTCCATGAATTCTTGTAACCTCCTTCCCTAATAAATCAAAATTCATTCATTTATGTCTGGCTATACAGTGCCCCCTCTACTATAAATTAAACTTGTTTATTTCTGGCTTAACAGCAGCCCCTACAAATCAAATATTATTTCCACCTGCAAAGAAAATGTGCTTATGGAAGGAAATGCTTGTATCACATTTGACATATCTATCAAATATACCAATAGGGACGAAAGCTATTGAAAGAGGGATTGAGAACAAGGGGTTTATATAGAAGTGGTTGTGGATGAGGTAATGAGAGAGGTATATATATAATGTTATGGATAATATCAGCTGGGTTGTTAGAGGGTGATGCAAATCCTCTCATCTTACCTTCACTATTACCTTGCCTTTGAGGTCATTAGGAGATGGCAGTGATCTTTGGTTTCTATGCAATGGAATCTTGTACAGTTTGTCTGAAACGATATATATAATCATCAATCTATTATTGATGTGATAAAAAATTATTAATAATAAAATAAATTAGCAAAAATATTAACAATAAAAGTAATGAATGATTAGTGAAAAAGATGTGTGATTACCTTTTAATATTGAATTCAAATGCTCCAATATAATCTTCTGTTGTCGAATATTACAATGATTTTCTATTGACACTATCAGCGGGTACCTATTCAATTGCAAACAGAATTGTTTAGTGAAATAATGCTTTAATCTATTATGTTTTTTGTGACAAATATCTGTGATTTGCTCATATCTGGGTGTGACATGACATCATCATGTCTATATAATCTGATACGACATCATTATATCCACATGGACACTAATCAGATATTTTTTCAAATAAAACTATGATACGGACAGTGCATTATGGAGTTGAGAAAAAAATTCTATCTATATGCGTAAATCATATTATATACGTCATAAATTACAATTTCCATTTAAACAATTTTTTGCTGATAAAGGGGTAATAATTCAGGCGGTTCTCAGAAATCCATTTTGGAACACCATTCTGAAAAATTACTTTTAAATTCATAAAGCTAGTGGACCAAAAACACACCCAAAATCCGGGATTCAAAACAACAAATCAATTGATTGTGTAAACACTTACTCAGACATGACAAATGCATGTTTATTGATTGTCCTAATGACGTCTGTGAACAGGATCGGCTTTGTGGAGGTATAGCCATTGTAAACTACTGGCTCACCATCATCTCCATTCCATACATCAACTGAAATACAATCAATAATTTAAAAAATCGTTAGGTTGATCACTGTATGTTTGAAATGTGGGAAGGTGCAGACATGCAAACCATGTGCCTGTCTTCGTCGTCTGTGTTTCCTACTTTCAAAATCTTGGCTCATTCAGTCTATTTCAGTGCACATCATGACATTACCGTAATTAAGACAACAAAATTCAATGTTAGAATAGGACTAGATACCTTCAACAAATCTGCTACCTTTGCGTAAAGCATCTACATAGCCACTAGTGCAAGGTTGAGAAAACTGGTCTTGTGTCAAGTATCTACAAAAACAAAAGTGTCAGCAACTAAATAAATAAATATATTATTTAAAATATTGATTTACTATACTCTTTATACTCCAAATTCAGATCAGTTTTAAATGAGTAGTACAATATTTATAATAAATTTTTGTGACTATGACAACCTAGAATGGAAGAGAGTACAGTAGTCCTATTTTATTATATGTTTAACTTATAGATTTAGTGGCCTTGATTGTTTAATTGAATTGTTTGATTGATTGATTGATTGATTTATTGGCCATTTTTCTTACGTATTATGCGAAGCTGCAATGAAGTAATGATTCAGGGGTAAGGTCATGTCTTGGTTGACCTTGTAACGATGATAAGGGTTGATAAGCTGCCCATTGGCACCATGCATGAAATTAAAAAAACCTACAAAAACAAAACAAACCAAAGTAAAAATTCATAATCACACATAAAATGTTCTATGTTAAAAATGCAAATAGTTAGCACTAAGGTTAAAATCTATAGTGAGCAAAACATCAACAAAAGATTAAACCTTGGCATGGTACAAGAGCATTTAACCACTGAAAACCAACTCTTCTCTATGTTAATTGTATGGCTTTAAAGATCACAACTAACCATTGTTACAAAACTTTCAAGGTGAAATAGATAAGTATTAGTATGTAGTGTTAAATTAACATAGTTTGGATGTCACGCTATTTTAGTATTTAACAATAATTTGCTACAACAACAAAAAAAGTCTTTAAAATATAAATCCAATTTACCGTCATATGATAAAACACGCCGTTTCCTGCATTCTGAAATTGGCTCATATTTGCTTATCACTACATCGCACCATTCTTCCTTCAATTCAAATCTCTGAAATGAAATATGAAATTAATTATTAAAATATATACATTATTAAGTAATGAATTGTATACTACCATCAATTTTTTTTTTTGTGAAAGTAAAGTTTACGTGAATGAAATGAAAAAAAAAAAAAATATGGAATGGAACTGCACTAGAAATGATCCCCCATCCTCCTGATTTCTAATGGATGTCCTTTTCCAGAAGATTTAAATGGAATATTCAATTTAATTTGGATTCCAATAGCTATTCCTCTTCAAATGGGATTCAAATCTTCCATACCTTTTGTTCCTCGTGCATAAACTGTAGGAACTCATAAGCCATCCAGAAGTCATTCCCTCCAGCATATCTGAATAAACATATAAATCTTTATTTGATGAAAATACTGTACTGCCCCATAGTAATAAAAAAAGGAGGCATTTTTTATAAAATAACATAAAGTTCAAAATAATTATAACTCCATGCTTGAAAATACTTTTGGTGAAGGTAGATGTTAGTCATCCACCAGTAGACCAAAACTTAATTTCAAGGTAATAACCACATTGTTATTTTAATAAATTTGAATGCCTCCTTTTATATTACTTGCAGCGTCATGGGGCAGTACGGAAAGTACAGAAGCAAAGTATCGAGCAAGGTGCTACGTACTATACGTGAAATTACATCCAATCTTAGAAATGTCGAAAATATAAAAGTATTATGTACAGGTATCCAGGACCTCAGTGGAGTTTAGCGACAAAACATTCCTTACTGTTGTTAGCACCATCTTGGCCGAAAGGTACACTAAGATTACAGGTATGTATACATCATATTCTGAAGTTATAATTTTCAAAATTATTCAAAAAGCATTTACTTGACAAATAAATTGAGAAGATCGTCTCTACTTGTAACTGTTCTGTAAAGTTGTACAAATTCTGCAGCGTTTAAAGTAAGCGTTGTAGTGTTTTCATACAATGGTCCTTGATTCCGCTGAACCACAGTCTGCAAAGAGTTTTAAAATTCAACTTGCTCATCATGTGATACACAAAAAATGTACATTGTGATTTGTGACATCATCTGTCATTTGTGACATCATCTGTCATTTTATAAAGGCCCATTGTTTTATTGTGAATGACACTGACTGATGCAATATGACATTCTATCGAATATTGTCCTGTTACTATAACAATAAAACATTGAATTGGATTGAAGACTTAACATTTTTTGTCTTCAGGTAAGATAGACTAAATGGTCCATTGACACAACTTGATGATTATGAATGTTATTATCAATAGATTCAGTACACCGGTGTTGCATCAACATCTAAATGTAGTGTGTGATTTGAATTAATGGTCACATCATTGTGGGTAGACAGCCTCAAATATTATTTTAAGCCTTTTTATGATACAGAAATCTGGGAAAAATTCTAAAAAATGTCATTTAAAACATTATTAAATGAACAATGAAGAAAATTTTTTTTTTTCATATTACTATTATTACTGAAATTATATTCATCATCATTATTTATCAATAATATTTGTTATTTACTATAGGCTGTTATTTAACGGAAAATTTGGCATGAATTTAGAGGCCGATCTTATACCTGAGGTGGACTTGCACTCAAGGAACTACGGTATCATATTTATAAGTGATGGCTGACCTTAAGAATTTTCTCCAAGAAGAATGTATCGGTCGAAACTCCAACAGTTTCCAAGAGAGCTTTACATTCTTCAAAGTTATAATGATCCTTTGAGGAGTGGGCCTCATCAAAGCAACGCCTCAGCCATCTAAATCAATACATTTAAGGCCAATAATAATGAAACAAATCTTTCTATACATGCCACAAAGTGTTGTTAATTTCACTAATATTTTGCTAATGTTTGCTAATATAGTAAGTTAATAGCTAGCCTAGATAATTAACTGATTTGGGCAAATTGATCCACATGCCTACCACCAGACATGAAAAAGAGTACTTCCTTGAATCCAATCTAAAACGACTTTTGTAAAGTCTGAATGGATGACCTATATGGAAACGTTGTATCATTTTGCTCTCCAAGGTCACCTTAACCATTGGAGAAAACTGGATTTCAAGTTCACAAAAGTACATTTTAGGTACAAAATCTATGATTTTCTTGTAATGGCCCAAGTGGATTATGTTGTAAAAATATTAATCTACCAATTCGTAAAGAAGAAATGAAAAAAATCTCTACAGTTTTGTCGGAAAGCACCGATTTATAACAGCTCCTCATGCCGAGAATTTCAAGAAATTTGAGGTTTTTTGCTGTTCTAAGCTCGTTTCTTACTCCCTCACTCACAGACTATTTCTTTGTTTGAGTTGGCTCAAGTGGATTCGTGGAGGGAATATAATAATCTTGAAGCTGATATGAAACTTAATGATTGGTTGGATAGTTTTATCGGAAACAGAAAATGTAAAAACTATCCAATCCACGATTGGCTCTAATGGGCTCAAAAAATCTCTCAAGCATGATAGTCCCATTCACTGTTATGGATGTCATACTTCTGTTTTCTTGACTTGTGTTCGCAGTGTATGACTTCTTTCTTTATGTAATTTGGCCGAATTAAGTTACAGTTGGATTTTTGGTTCTTTTATAACCTTTATTTACCTTTATTAAAAAAACAAATATCTTAAGACAAGATACTTGCAACAACTATGATATATTTCTGCAAAAAATGCAGTTTATAGTCTGGACCATTTGCAAATTTCTGTATGGGTGTAGCCTAGGTCTAAGCCAATCCCGCCAACACGAAAGCGTGGACTAGGGGAAGAGAGATCTCAACATTTGTTCACTTTACATTTTACTAAATGTATTATTAAATATGTGGTAAAATAAAAGTTTTAACAAAAACAACTAACTATTTACTGAGCGAGTTGAATTTTGTTAGTATTTTAACCCCATAATGAAAATGAAACAAACCTAAGGTTTTTAATTGATGGATCCTAACTACGTGTACAGCAGGGTTGATTTGACTTCGTTTCGTTGCTTTCATTATAGCTGAACTAGCAAATGATAAAAAGTGGCAAAAACGTTTCCATATGCGTGGTCAATACATGAAATTGACACAGCCTTATCATTACTATTAATATTATTAACTAAATTATTAATGATACACATAAATTCATTAAATATTTATATACTGTATACTATTAATTTCAAGGATACCGGTCCTGCAGATCTGGAACATCAAGTTCAATGCTTTGTTTCTTAGCTAAGCGCAGTCCGTCAATCCATGATTTAGCATCTTCCGCACTAAGAGCAGCTAAGTCCAATGTTTTGGAAGTGTTATTAAAGACTATAGAAAAGCATCTGTCTAGAGAGACTCTATTCTTCTTAGAACGAGCAGCTTTTGATATATTACCTGCTTGTAATTCTCTGATGTTATCTAATGTAACTGTAAGCAACAAATAATAACATAAGTAAGAATAATGATTCATTTGATGTATATTTCTGGGTACATAAAAACATATATCCTGAAATATTAATATGTTTTATACATATATTTATATAATTATTTACTTGTATTATTATTATTATTTAATGTATTTCATCCATGGAATTTATAGATCAACCAGCAAATCAATCAAACCATAAATTAAACTTGAACTTCATTCCCTTTCTACAAAGGTGTTTAAATTTCTTCAAATCCAATTGTCACTTATTTTATAACTGCGTACTTTCAACCATTTAATCCTAATTGATCATAGCAGTATTAGCATTAAAGAAAATACACCCATGGTCCAGTGATAACCATCAACCCAATGAACAGGACCTAAGTATGTGTGAACTGTAATAATATCTTTGAATACAGTGAAAACAGAATAACAGGATGTAGAAAATTATTTTGTTTTCTATTATATTTTAAATCTATTTCACCCACATTTCTTAAAAAGACTTAGGGAGTGGAGATGTTTTTAGTTGTGAAAACCTTTGGAGTTTTACAGGATATAAAATATTGACCGGTGGATAAAGTACAGTGTAGGTGAGCTTAGCAAGCAAGCTTTGCTACTTTTATTGTCAACATTTGTACTTTGCTTTCGAATGCACTTTTAAAAAGAGTTGCTGTACAAACAAAACAAAACAGTTTTCAAAGTGGCCATTACCCATAATCCTCGACCCACCCATACACACAAACAAAATTCAAAATATTTCAACCTTTATTATCACATCACAAATACTCACAGTTCCTAGCATAACTTGAGCTCTATGCATGAGTTAAGAATGGTGGATCAGTATATTTTTAAAGTGAACTTTTTTGTGGTTCTTTCTAGCCATTTGTATCTGGGCTGTTTTGGGGTATTTTACAGATTTTTTAATTTACTTATTCTTTTATTGCCATTTTGTTTATTTAGAAGCCCCTGGAGATTTAGAATTCAATGAGTGGTATACACAAACAACCACATTATCCATGCATGCCAACCCATAAAAAATAGCAATGTTTATATCCTTACATTAACTACTGTATATCCTGAAATATAAATATGGGGAAATAAATTTGCACTTACAAATATACACTATCTAAAATGAAGCAGGAATGATACACAATAATTTAAAAATATTTTAATATTAAGAAATTGTTGTTTTAAATACATTTTGAGGCAAACCGTATTCACCTGCTTTTATTGATATATATTTTACCTATACAGCATCTTTAATTTTTATATTATGTT